GTAAAGAGCGCGCGGATTCGCGGAGACTCCGCTGGCCTCCAGAGACTCGGCTCGAGTGCCCCTCTACCTTGTGATACGATAGCGTAGGCGCACGTGGGGGAGTGCGGAGTTTACGTGTGGCGTGCCGGATGCGCGGATAATGTATGTAGAATGGAGAGGGCAACGAATTTCGACGTTTTCCTTTGCGTCACCGTCCAAGAGACCAAGTGTGGGGTCGGCATGTTGTGCGAGTATATGGGACACGATGTCTCAAATATGAGGGGTTTTGACTCCTACCGGCTCCTGACGCTATCCCTGGCAGCTCTAATGACCAGGATCAGTAGTGCTATGATAGAGGGTGCCCATACTAGCGAAGGAGCTGCCACACTCGCCCGGACCGTCCCCTTCTGGGGCCGGTTCCGCAGCCCGCGAGAGCCGACAGCGGGGCCGTGCCGCGGGTGCCTACTGCCGAGTGCCAAAAACACTGCGCCGTCCCGCCATCACCTACAGGCTGTCTTGTGTGATGGTTGGGATGTCCAAACGCCACCATCTTGGCTCTTGCGACCTCAAACCCGCGAGCTGTATGGGTGGTCCTGACGTCGACAGACGCCCGATGACCACGGTGAAGCTGAGCCGGAACGAGTCGACAAGTCTCGTCTGAGCCCGTGGCGGTCGCCGGCTGAGTCGCTGTGCACGGGCCGGCACCTCAGGCGTCACCTCCGCAGCCTCAGGTCTCACACTCCATCACCTCCGACGGGACGCCTTCGATGGCACGCTCGGCGGCGACTTTGTGGCAGCCCCACAGCGAGCGCGGCGTCGAGCCTAATCGGTCTGGTCGGTCGGCCGCACTCCCTGGGTGCCAGGGAGTGCGGCCGACACGCGAGCGGTGCTTCCTGGCAGCGCGCGCCAGCTGTGGGGCTGCCACAAACTCGAGTCACGCTTTTTTGGGACATTTTCGACGCTTTTGTCCCATATACTCGCACAACATGCCAGGGATGAAAGGACGGCGGCACGCCACCACACACAGCAATCTCTCTCCCGCAAAGGGATTTTAAGGAGAGGAGTGTGGTGCTAGCCCCTAACCGTCGCCCACACCCTTGGGCGTCTGCACCTCTCCTAGCTCTATTCGCACAGTCCCTCGCCGATTCTTCGTCCCGCTCCTTTCCTTTACGGGCGGGCCATTTCTTCAAAAAACGCATTGCCGATCTGAGCGCTGCTGAGCGCGCGGCCGCGGGTCGCCTTCATGCCTAATGCGCCCCCGCGACCCCCAAAACGAGCCCGCGCTATGCTCGTCCCATCTTATGCTGCTGACGCTCGCTCGCCGCCGCCTGTAGAGGATGTGTCGGCAATAGTTGTCGGTGATTGTGGGCGGAACTAGCGTGCTGTGTATTGCTCTTGCCGTGTGAATCCAATCCTGGGGGTGGACTACTTTGTTGCTTGTCTCAACTTTGTGGCGGAATCTTGACGAGCTGTCGTGCGGTCGGTCGGGTCGCGGTACTCGCGCCCTTGAGTCTCTTCCTGCCTCTCTTATCCACCCTGGGCTTTGTAGGAAGTCCTCGGCTCGAGTGTCAACCAGCACGCCTACCCAAACATCCACATCGCCCTCGAGCCGCCTCTGCCGCCGCCGCACGCGCTGCAGGCGTGCACGCCGCCACCGGTGCGAGTCGCCCGACACGTCGTGAAGAACGCTCGCTTCTGCATCTTTAAGCGGCGGCGCAGCTTCCGGCTCGGCGCGGGATCGGCTGGCGCTGCCGAGGCCTACAGGCTCAAGTGCACGTCGCGTGCGCTCCGCTGGGAGCTCTGCGCGCGCGAGTGAGGCCGCGATACCATGTGTGGCTGCAGCGGCGCCACCGGCGCGCAAAACTAGTCCGAGCGCCGCCTCGGGTGCTAGGCACTGCGCTCCTGAGATAGTAGGATGCATGGCCCACACTGGCGGCCGGCAGAGAGCGCGCAGTCGGCGCACAGCAGCAGCAACCTGCGGCCACGGGCCATGAGACGCTAAATTGCGCGCATTGCTGCAGAGGCTCGCGCGTGGCGGGAGGGGCGAGAGGGCCGTGTCTGGCTCGCCGAGGCTGCACTCGGTCTGGGTGCTGGAGGCGAGCACACTTGTGTTGCGGGTTGGGTCAATGGGAGGGTGTACAGTTGTACTGCTGATTCTGCAGCCATGTGGAATGGGTGGCACGGCGCCGCAGAAGGTGCTGGGACTGCCATGCAGAAATGCTGCCATGTGCAGTGCGCGGCGGCTTTGGAGCTCGCCTCGGGCGGTTCCCACAAGTCCGTGCGGAGGTCCTGGCGGCCAGCAAGTCGCAGAGCACGCCGCGCAGCGCAGAGCGCGCCCCGGCGCCGAATAAGTATATAAGATTTTCTGCACCGAGGTGGAATTTTATTGGTACCAACAGGTACCTGGCCAACCTTCCGCTCCCCTCGTATCGATGGAGCTCTCCCTGAACCTTCCCGACGCCCTCGCGCTCTGCACCGCCCTCCGCTCTGTCTCCTCCTCCATCCGCGCGAACCTCTCGAAGCGCCTCGCAGCACAGTATACCTCCGATTCCTCGTCCGCCTCCGCCTCCGCCGCCTCCGAGCCGCGCTCGATTGACAAGAGCGGCGTCGAGATCCAGACCGAGGCCATGCAAGTCGCCCTGCTCACGCAGGGCCTGCCGTCAGACGAGCGCACCCGTGCCGCGGTGCTCGAGGCGCTGCGGCGACACGAGGCGGAGCCCGCGGTCGCCAGCTTCCTGCACTACTGGAGCTCGCTTGGGCTCGTGGCGGGCGTCTACGCGGTCGGCAGCGGCGGCGAGGTGCAGACGGCCTTCGTCGACTGGTACAGAGGGCCGCCCGGCCAAGCGCGCTACCTGCCTTCGCTCGCGGCGGTGCGCGCGGACCTCGAGAGCTTTGTGCTGCAAGGCTGGGCGCCGGCCACGCCGCCGCTCCGGCGGCGCGACTCCATGACGACCGCGCTCGGCTCCTGCTTCGCCGACGAGATCCGCATCTGGCTGCGCGCGCGCGGCTACCGCGTCAACGGGGATTTTCGGACGGGGCATCGGTACCCGCATGCGGAGGACAGCTCCGTCCCTCTGCTGCAGTGCTCCGCGGGGCTCGTCAACACGTTCGTGCTGCTGCAGCAGTTCGAGTGGGCCTTCGAGGCGCGCGCCTTCGACGACGACCTCTGGCACGGCGCCAAGGGAGCCGTCGTCACGCCGACAGAGGAGGCGCTGCCAGCCGCGAGAGCGAGAGAGAGGCCCTTCGAGGCCCGGGGCGGCGGCGATTCACGCACCTGGCCGTGGGCAGGCGAGGCTGAAGACGAGGGAGCTCTTCGAGCAGACCTCCCTCTTCATCATCACGCTCGGCCTCGCGGAGGTCTGGTTCCAGCGGCGGCGGCCTCGCGCGGCCGCGACGCGGGCGGAGGCGGAGGCGGACGGGGCGCAAGAGGCGGGCGGCGGCGCTGCGGGCGGCGAGACGGAGTGCGACGTGCTGTGGCGCGCGGTGCCCAGCCACGTGTATGACCCGGGCCGGCACGGCTTCCGCGTCTCCTCCGTCGCCGAGAATGTGGCCAACTTGCGCAGGATTGTGCGGCTCATCCGCGAGCACGTCCCGTCGGCGTCGATCGTCTTTACGCTCTCGCCGGTGCCGCTGGCCGCGACCTTCCGCGGCGTCTCCTGCGTCACGGCAAACAGCGCCTCCAAGGCGATCCTCCGCGCGGCGGTGGACGAGCTGCTGCGCGAGGTGCACGGCGGCGGAGAGCGCGGCGGCGGCGGCGGCGGCGGCGGCGAGGGAGGTTGCGCCGGCGGGCTGTACTACTGGCCGGCCTTCGAGATGATCAAGGAGGGCTTCACCGAGCCGTACTTGGAGGACGGCCGCCACCCCAAGCCCGAGGTGATCCAGCAGATCCTGGCCTTGTTTGGCAAGCACTACCTCGGCGGGGAGGAAGAGGCAGGAGGCGTCCCGGACCCCGAGGACACTTGACACCGCTGAGCGGACAGCGATAGCCTACTCCACATGTACCTTAAGGTTGCTCCCGGCCCAGTGGGGATTTTGCTACTCCGGTGACCGTCTAAGGGCCCTAAATGGCCTGCAATGCCATATCTTTTGTGCCTATGTTGTAGAGCACTTTAAAAAACTAGTATGTCTTGGACCCAATGGAGTGAAAAGTTTCTCGATGTACGATGAGGTGGGGATCCGTGAAGAGCCTGGTGAGCTCAGATTCCCAGATTCTCTCCAGATTCCCCTCGAAAACCGCCCCTTTTAATTCATTGCGGCCGCGGGTTTGCTCGGATTACTTTCCCTCGAAGACATACTAGTTTTTTGGCGTTCCGGAGAGAGATTGTGTTTGAGAGAGAGAGAGAGAGAGAGAGAGAGAGAGAGAGAGAGAGAGAGAGAGAGAGAGAGAGAGAGAGAGAGAGAGAGAGAGAGAGAGAGAGAGAGAGAGAGAGAGAGAGAGAGTTGTTTGTTGTTGTGTTTGTGTTTGCGTTTTCCGGTGCCTACAAAAAATTTCCATGGAGCTGAACACAGGGTTTGCGGCGGTCACTGTCTACCAGCGGGCACAGTGGGCCGCGGACACCCGTTAATGACCTAGGGTGAAATTCTCAAAAAGGTGCAGCACTTCTAGCCGACATCGACAAAAGTCCCTCTCTAGCCCCGCGGCGAGCGGCCCCGCCGGAGGCGAAGAAAATTTCGCCATCTAGCGCTCGCAACACATAGATTTGTGCATAAATCAACACCTCCAATCTTCGGGGGAGTGACGGATAAAGGCGTGCGAAAGAGCTAATGAATCCGAAAGCAGCGAATCCAAGTGATGGCCCGCCGCAGGCGAAGAAAATTTAGGGTTGGGGTTCCCCTATGCCAAAGAACTCTTATTAGAGGATTTCGGCGGCCGGCGCGCCGAGGCACAGCGGTTCGCGCTGCCTGCTCGCGCTGGTTACACCGTTGCTGTGGCCGTCTTCGTCCGTATTGTACACCGAGCTGGCGCCACAGCAGAGTACAACAACGGCTCGGACTAGCTGCTCCACGGTACTACATCATCAGAGGGCCCGGCAAGGTCCACGGCGGAGCTGGCGGTGGTGGGAGTGGTGGTAGGAACGAAGGCGCACCTGTCGGCGATTCACCGCCGTTCGTTCCCGTCTCTCAAAGCTGGTTACACCGTCGATGCGCACATCGAGGCGCTCGTGGACGAGAGAGACGTCGCCTCCTCTTTCGTCCCGGGGCACTGTTCACGCCGGAAGGCCCCGTACACTGCCAAGTACATTAGCCTTCATCTCTCCTACCGCCGGCCGGGAGTGCAGCCGCCACCAGTGAGATTGTCCTCGACGTTGGCACCTGCGAAGTAATGAACAACAGGCAGTGCGTCATATGGCGCTATGATAGCCCTGCGGTGGACGTCCTCGACGCAGACGAGGCGGAGCTCATCTGCGCGGCGCAGATCGCCGACTGTCTCTCCCTCCCTGCGCGAGTGGTTGCACCACCCTGGATGAGGCATCTGGGCTGGGGCAGGGCCGTTAGTAGAGGAGGGCGACTGAGGGCGCGAGGCCGCCAATCGTCAAAGTCTGCTGCGACTGACTGTCGGTCACTGACTGAGCAATGAGCAATCGCATCGGCGGTTTCACTCACGCTCACAATCGGGTTACATCCAGGTCTCTGTGCGGGATGTGCTGGGGGGCTGCCCCCCAGTCGATTGCCGCATAGTTCGTCGATGTAACCCTACCAGAAAGCTGTATTCACACCTACCCTTCCAAAAAAAGAAATGTCCCTGCTTTTGTCGAAGATCCGGCGGGTTTATCGGAGCATCACCCCCTAAAGCGAAAAGGCACAAAGGTCCAAAAAGAAGAAATCCGTGCGCTCCCCGCGTGCTCAAGCCGCTTCAACCGCTTCGACGCTGATGCCGACGCGAAAGCTCGCCAACCCGCTGTGGGCGTTCGCCTTCCCCACAGTTGGCGCCGCGCTCACGATTATCGCGGCTGTCGTCGCCGCTGCTGCCGCACGCCGCCTCCACCGCCACCACCGCCGTGGCCTCTGCCGCTCGCGCCCGCCTGCTGGGACCTTCACGCTCGGGTACTGGGACATCCGCGGGCTCGCGGCGCCAGCGCGGATGATGCTGGCGTACAGAGGAGCCGCCTTTGAGGACCGCACGTACTCTCTGCAGCCGCAGGAGGGCGGCGGCTGGGGCGCCCCGGCGTGGTTTGACACGGACAGGCCACCGTTGCGCGAGCGAAACGCCTTTATCAATCTGCCGTACCTCGTCGACCACGAGAGTGGGATCGTCGTCTCGCAGAGCACTGCGCTGTACCAGTTCCTCGGGCGCAAGCTGGGCCTGATGGGCGAGAACGAGGCCGAGCGCGCGGCGACGGAGCAGACGTTGGCGCAGGTGCCCCCCCCCACAACCGCGCTCCCCGCAAAAGCGTCAAAGCCAGGCGGCGTGAGAGAGGAGGAGAGGGTTGTCGCCCCGAGCGGTGAGCCCGCGCCACGTCCCTGCAGAGCTCAGACCCAGCAGGCCCGGGCACAGCAGGCCCGGGCACAGCAGGCCCGGGCACAGCAGGCCCGGGCACAGAAGGCCCGGGCACAGAAGGCCCGGGCACAGAAGGCCCGGGCACAGCAGGCCCCCCGACGGTGTGCGCCCCTCCCCCACCAGGCGTTCGACCTGAGGAACGAGTGCGTGCGCGTCGTCTACCCGTTCGCCGGCACCTCGGCCGAGCGCTTCAGCGCAGCGCTGGCGAAGCACTTGCGCGCCGTCGCTGCGCCCTCGGCGGCATACGACCGGTTCTCGCGCTTCCTGGGCGACAAGCCCTTCTTTGCGGGTGCTCTCTCCTCCTCGGCGGGCGGGCGGGGTGGTGTGAGGGCGGTGCCTTTTCTTACCCGGTTTTGCTCCTTGCAGGCTCACGGCCGACGGCGGGAGACTTCCATATCTGGGAGATGCTGGACCAGCACGAGCTGATGGCCTCCTCTGCGGGCCTGCCGTCGCCGCTGGAGGCGCACCCCACGCTTCGCGCGTTTCACGCTCGGCTGCGCGCGCTTCCGCAACTGCAGCTCTACTTTGACTCGGAGGCGGCGCACCTGCCGTGCAACAACCGGATGGCACACTTTCGGTAGCTCTACACTGTACACACATGCTACTTGCTAAGGCCGTAGATGCTTGTGCTTGGACTTGGTTTTTCCTCCTCTCCAAATAACCAAAACATACCGAGCGCTGCTTGCGGCCGCAACACACCGCACAGTCTCTAGAGTCTAGTGGGCCTCCACATCGAGGAGGCCTCCGCGCTGCCGCGCGTGTTCGCCGCGCCCCGCCTGCTCCGCCGCTGCCTCGCCGCCGGGCCAGAACGCGTGCGCCAGCAGCCCGAGGTACCTGTAGCGCGGATGGGCCTCTACTAAGCAACGCGCTGCCGGCACAGAGCCCGGCGACACGCGCGGTGCGCACGAGTTGATGAGGACAAGATAGGGGAGCTGGAGCTTAAGCCAAACGCCGCGCCGGCTGTGGAGCGCTCGGTAGAGGGTGCCGCAGAGCCAGAGGATGCCGACGACGGCGGTGATGGCCACAAACGCCTTCTCGCGCTCCGTGTACGTGTAGTCGACCTGCTCGCACGTGTGATATCACCCGAGATGACTCGAGATTACCCGAGAGTACCCGAGATCGAGTCGTCGACCTGCTTCCAGCCGAGCCGCTGGACGGCGCGGGCGAGGAGGCAAGAGAGCCAACTGCAGCGGAGAGGCGGTGGGGGCTTGGGGGGGGCATGACGCTGCTCGGCGGCGGCGAGGATGAGGCGAGCTCGGTGGACCTCGTGTAGTCTCGGGCAGTCTTGGGCAATCTCGTGTAATCTCGTGTAATCTCGCCTCCTCTCGACACCTCTCCTGCGCTCCTCCTCTCTCTCTCGGCCCCTCCCGGCCCCTCCCGGCCCAACCCGGCCCCTCCCGGCCCCTCCCGGCCCCTCCCGGCCCAACCCGGCCCCTCTCGGCCCCTCCCGGCCCCTCCCGGCCCCTCCCGGCCCAACCCGGCCCCTCCCGGCCCCTCCCGGCCCAACCCGGCCCCTCTCGGCCCCCCCCGGCGAGGACTCACAGGGCAATGCACGCGACAGCGCACGCGAGGCCGACGGCGACCGTGTCCTGCTCGTGCACCGACTCGCCCGCGCCGCTATAGTGCGCGAGGAGCGACTCGGACTCGGTGCGGCCGAAGGGCGGCGGTGCGGCGAAGAGGAAGAAGACGCCTGCCAGTCGGGGGCCCTCTGGTGGAGCTCGGGCACGCGCGTGCCCTCTCCGGCAAGGAAGAGACGGCGCCGGCGGCGAGCAGCTTTGGCGCCCAAAAGGCCGAGCAGCCGAGCGGAGCGACGCTCTCGCCCCCGCGGGAGGAGCTCCTGCGCGGTGTGAGATATGGGGAGATATGGGGAGATATGGGGAGATATGGGGAGATATGGGGAGATAGAGAGGAGCTCCTGTGCGGTGTGGGAGCCACGCGGTGTGAGAGCACGCGACGTGTGAACCACGCGGTGTGAAGACAAGCGGCGGGGGTGTGCGCTGGGGAGACCGTGACAGTGTGGGCGCGGCGGCCGCACACATCTCTCGGCCGCCTCTCGACTACAGCGCTGCGCGGGAGCAGGCGCACGCACATCGAGTCGGCGTGCGCCAGCCAAAACAGGAGGAGGAGGGCGGAGAAGCAGGCCTGGCGGGGGAGGAGGAGGAGGGCGGGGGGAGGCACAACGAGGGCGGATGAGGTGGAGGCAAGAAGGAGGGCGGAGGGTGAGAGGAGGAGGGCGGAGGAGGCAAGAAGAAGGGGAGTAAGAAGGACGGCGGAGGAGGAGAGGAGGAGGGCGGAGAAGCAAACCTCCGCCCACGCCGAAGCGGCCTGAAGGGTGAGGTCCCCCCCGCGCGCGAGGCAAGCGGCGTAGAGCGGGTCGTTGAGACCGAGCAGCAGCAGCAGCAGCGACATCACCCAAAAGTGGGCAGTGTCTGGGGCGGTGCCGCCCATCGCAGCGCCTGCAGGGAAGGCTCCGAGAAGGCTGCTGGAGGGCGCATGCCTGGCAGGGCGAGGGCACCGCCGGTGGCTGCGCCGTTCACGAGGAGCGTCAGATCTCGGGGAATCAATCTCGAGGAGGAATCTCGAGGAGTCTCGGGGAATCTCGGGGAATCTCGGGGAGTCTCAGGGAATCTCGGGAGTCTCGGGGAATCTCTCGGGGAATCTCGGGGAGTCTCGGGGAATCTCGGGGAGTCTCGGGGAATCTCAGGGGAGTCTCGGGGAATCTCTCGGGGAATCTCGGGGAGTCTCGGGGAATCTCAGGGAATCTCGAGGAGTCTCAGGGAATCTCAGGGAATCTCGGGGAGTCTCGGGGAGTCTCGGGGAGTCTCGGGGAATCTCAGGGAATCTCGGGGACTGAAGCGCCGTACGCGAGGAGCGTCGCCGCCACGCCAACGGAGAGTACGAGCCTCACCGCCGCCTGCACGCCGCTGAGGCGAGATGCAGCCGAATGCCCGAGGTACGGCCGAGGTACGGCCGCGATACAGCCGCGATATAGCCGCGCCTGCACGCTGCTGAAGGCAGCCGGCACGTAGGTCAGCCTGCGGGGTGCACAGGAGACGTCAGAGGTGGGCTCGGCATCAGCGGGGTGGAGGGGTCGCGAGTCGTGCCATCCAACCATCAGAGAGGGAGGGGGGGAGGGAGGGAGGGAGGGAGGGAGAGGGAGAGGGAGAGGGAGAGGGAGAGGGAGAGGGAGAGGGAGAGGGAGAGGGAGAGGGAGAGGGAGGGAGAGAGAGAGAGAGAGAGGGAGGAGGGAGGGAGAGAGACAGGGAGCGAACGGCAGCCCGCGCACGCGCGCCGAAACTCGAGCTGCGGTGGCGGATCCCTCTCCGCGCCTTTGCTCCGCACCGTCAGCTCGTACTCGCTGTACCCCTGCAGCAGGACAGGAAGCTGCAACACCGGGAGCTCTGCGCTGGCCGCGCCCATGCCGCCGGGCCGAGCAGTCGAGTGCGCGAGCGGCACCAGCGTGCCATGCGCCGCCATGCCGAGGGCAGTTGCCTCGTACGAGCGTGTCCGCTCCTCCGCGTACAGCGTGAGGAGGAGGAAGCGAGTCATCTCGCCCTCTGGCAACAGCGTGAGGCGCGCTGTGCCGTCCGAGGCTCGCAGCCTCAAGATTTCTTGCTTGGATGGAACCAGCGGCAGCGACGCGCTGTACCTTCCTCCGTTTGAGCTCAGCACGACCTGCGGGCGGCGAGAGGGACAGACTAGCTTCGCCAAGCAGACGGTGCTGAAATGCGCAAGCGCTCACCGTCTTCAACGGAGGGCCGGCCAAGAAGACATTGACGACCGAACACACAGCGAGAGGCACGACGAGGAGGGTGCACGCCACGCAGGAGTAGCTTAAACCGCACATGTCGCGCAAGCTCACGGCGCCATGGCCCAGGGTTCGGACTTTTTGGTAAGGTATGGTAGGGTCTGCGCCCTGGCGCAGCGAACAATACACCCCCACCCGCACAGGACGTCGCCTCTGGCCAGCAGGACCATACCCCCCCACCCCCCACCCCACCACACGAGCGCGCACAGTAACCGTCGTGTTAGGCCGTCCGGTCGTGCGGCACGTGTTCGCGCGATGCAGTCTGCGCGAGGTGACCCGCCGGCAATCGTGCTCACCCCTCAGAGCATGTCCGCAAAGGCCGCCAGGGCCTTGCGTGCCGGCGCAGGCGCGGGCGCAGGCGCGGGCGCGGCCGGTGCGAGCGCGGGCGCGGGCGCGGGCGCGGTCTCCGCCGGCGCCGCCTCCGCCATGGTCACCTCGGGCGCGGGCGCGGGCGCGGTCTCCGCCGGCGCCGCCTCCGCCATGGTCACCTCCGCTGGAACGGCCTCCGCCTCCGCCGCCTCCGCTGGCGCCACCTCCGCCTCCGCCATGGTCACCTCCGGCGTCTCCGCCGCCTCCGCCTCCACCTCCACCGCCTCCGCCGCCGTCGCCTCCGCCGCCGGCGGCGGCGGCGCGGCCACCGTGGGCGCGCGCGCGCGCGCCATCTCGAAGGGGTTGCGCGGCTGGCCCGAGTTGTGGGGGCTCTTGTAGCACATGCCCCACTCGTTGAAGACGTTGTGGTCCGTGTCCGCGTCCGAGATGACGCCCTTCGGGCAGCCGTCCTCGGGCTCGTCAATGAGCTCGCGCTTCTCGTCGAGCAACTTGAAAGGACCATCGTGGCGACAGTTTTGAGCGCCTTCAGCTTGCTGAGATCGTGGTCGTCGCCACGGAAAGCGTCGCTTGTCGGAAGCCTCCCGTCTATCATGCGGACGGCATGCGGTGCAATCGCAGCGTCGAGCTGTGCGACGCACGACGCAAGCGTACCAGCGCAGCAGCTGCGCACAGCGGCGCGCTCGGCGTCGTCGGGCAGCGAGCTGTCCAGGAGCCGAAGTTGAGGCGGCGTCGCGGCGAGAAGGCCCGCGACAGTATCGAAGCGGCCGGGGCCGCCGTGAGTCGGCATCAAACTCGCGGCGTTTCGTCGCCCCCCGCATGTAATGGGAGGTGAGGCGCCACAGCTGCCGCGCCAGCAGCTCGTCCCACCTGTTCGCAATGTCCTGCGGCACCTGCGCCAAGTCCTCGCTCGCCGGCTCGCCGTACCCGCAGGAAGCATAGTCGGCCGCCATCGGCAGGAACGTCTCCTTGTACCAGACGAGCGGCGGCGCCTCCGGCGCGGCCAGAAGCGTGGCGCGAAGCTTGTCGCCTCGATGGACGCACGGCGTCGCCTGGATGGCCTCCAGCAAGTCGATCAGCTGCACCGCAAAAGTGACAAAGTCTGCAAAGAGATACGGTCGGCCAGAGGGGTAGAGCTGCCCGTCCTTTGGCCCGCCGGTGTAAATGTCGTAGTCCCAGCACCACAAGCGCTCCGACTGGTAAACTCGGTGGGCCGTGGTGGTCAGCAGGATGAAGGCCGCACTCTCGATGAGCTTGAGCTGGTGTGCCGCCGTCTCAGGGATGCTTGTGCACACCGGCTGCTCCAGCCCGGTCGAGAGGAATGATGTGCACTGCTCGAGGGTGGGCCCCGGCGTGGGCGCAAAGGCGGCCGGGCCGTGCGGCGCGGCGGCAAGAAGCAGTGCGAATAGCTTCCCGGCCATTTTGTCGTCAGAGGAACCTCGATCTCGACCGCCCTCCCCGGCCCTATCGAGGAGTCGCTTGACGCCCTTGGCTATGCCCGGTCCGGGTCCTGCGCGGTCCGCGCGCGGCGACGGACTGTCGCCGACTGTGTGGGCTCGATGCCCTCACGAGGCTCCACCTGTCGGCGGACAGCCGGCAGCAAGAGAAACCGCAGTGAGCGGACCCCACTGCTGTCAAGACTCAAAAGTCCGTCGACCTAAAAGACGCCGCGGACAAAGAGGAATTTCGGCGGACGCCGAAATTCCACACATGACTGTGAACACATCCACAGTCTACTAAGAGCATAGCCGTCTACTTAGAAGCACCAAAAGGGCAAGGCATACCGGTCGCACTCCACACTTTGGGAGCCACAGGGTTCCTGGCTTCTACCCCCAGTATGGTAGTCTTGCTTAATATATCGAGGTCTCGCGAGTTTTGGGGGTTCTCGGCGCCGCGACAGCGCTGCACATATGACGAACGGGGTACGGCTTTAGAGTAATCGGTAAGGTCAACAGTCAACCCTTCTCCACGCACACAAAGAAACTAAGTTATGCGGCAACAGGGGGGCGACCCTCGCGACAGACTCCCCACACCCCGCGGACAGGGGTCAGGGAGGAGCCCCACGCAGCACTGTGCCGACTGCGGCTCTAGCCGCACTGGGGACCCTCGTCCCACAGCTTCAGCTCGTCGCCAGAATCGCCATCGTGTGGGACGTGAAATGTGCTCTTGCCATTCCCCTTCGTGCTTGACGGCGCCGGCCAAAACTCGGCGTCCACCTGCTCACCGCTTTGCCGCATGCGTTCGCGGTGCTCCTTATAGGCGGCGCTGTACCGGTCCTTCGCCTCGCCGCCCAAGACGGGAGAGTGCTCGATGAGGTGGCCTCCCGTGAATGCGAGGATGTCGCGCTGGTACCGCTCAACGAAGCTGAGGTGGGCATGCCACACCGTGTCCAGCGGCCCAGAGGGCGAGAAGAGCTTGGAGTCCCAGTCTTGGTGCTCCTTTTTGAGCGCCAGGAAGTGGCGATACTGCAACACGGCCTTCTCGGCCCAGCGTTCTGGCCTGCGCGGGTTGCGCGCGAGGACGACGAGTTTCAGCGCCTCCCAGTTGGGGAGCGCGCGGTCCTGCTTGTAGCGGGGCAGATCTTTGACCTTCTGGTCCGGCTTCCATGCCGAGAGCACGGTGTACAACTTGGCCTTGTAGTATGCCGTAGCCTTGTAGTCTGATGGGTGAGTGCCCTCGGGGATGTAGTCCGGGTCCAAGACCTCGGGGATGTCGATCAAGGCGTAGGCGCAGAGAACACCACCCTGATTTTTCTCCCAAGCATTGAGGCGCACCGTCTTCCTCGGCGTGGAGAAGTCGCACACAAACTCTTCCGTGCCGGCGTCATGAACCGCGACGAGCCTCCGCTCCGAGGATTCCAGTCCGAGGCCAAGCTTGAGCGAGCTGATCGGCCCTCCCTCGTCAGGCCGAGCGAATGTGGCCGTGAACTCCCACGTGGAGGCCTCCTCTGAAAGCTCGGTGTCGCCGTATGCTCCGTTGGCGTCTGTGGCCCCTGGCGCCAACTTGCAGAGTCCGGTGCGCAGGTCCCGCAGCATCGGCACGTCGAGAGTTCCGACGAACTGATCCGGCTCTATGACAGCCGTCTTGCATGATGCAAACTTGTACTGGATCACGACCTCCTCGGTATACCCTGGCGCGGGTGCGGCAGAGGGGCCAGCAGCGCCGCTGCTGCCAGCGCCGACGCCGTTTCCGCTGACGGCGACGTCAAGCACAAGGCCAGAAGGCAGGCCCGGGGAGAGGGCCACAACGGCGCCGTCCCTCGCATCCTTCAGAGTGAAACTCTCGCCCGCCTGCAACCCGAGCAGCCCTTCGACCGTGGCTCGGAGGTCAGACGTGCTTGTGCCTGGAGAGTAGAAGGCGAGAGGGTCTAGCTCCTTTCCGTCACGCCGGAGGGTCAACGTGACACGCGTCGGATCGTCAGCTTTGCGCTTCTTCCGTGCGGGCTGCGAGGACATGCAATACGCTCTCGATGCTGCCTTTCCACGGCGCCGTCAGCAGGGCAAAGCTTTCAATGGCCGTCACCAAATTTCTGACCTTTCGTGTTTCTTTTTGAGTGAGAGGCTAGCGTTTTAAGAATTCTTTCTTGGATTCTAAGAATTTCGGCACTACTATGAGCACGGGTCCTTCGAGTGAGCACTTCCCAAGTCTCACGTGCCGCTTCCTGTCTCCACATAGGGTTGTACTCTCCATAGGCGCGCTCGGCGCCGCCCATCTCCGCGATGTGTTCTATCGGAGTGAACTGGTGCAAGGCAGCTTCTTGGAGCACTTGGAGTGCAGTCAGAGAGTAACCGCACGCCCAGGGCTGGGGAGCTTAGAAGCGCACCCAGCGGGCCGGACGATTGGTATCGGGCTACGGGCAAGAGAGCCCTGACCCCTAGAGGGGGTGCGCGTTCGCACAGGGAAAGGGTCATAAAGTAAACACGGGTCTCCGAGGGTTAGTCCGCGCTCCAGGTTTCCCCTAGCGGCGGAACGCCCCCCGTCTACTCGGAGCTAAGAAATACCAGACACGCACACGACGACATCCTCACTCGACGTCACCCCTCAGGGCCCCTCCGTTCGGCCTCCCCACCCTCGATCCGGAGGGGCTCCCCATCCCCTCTCCTCCCGGTCCCCCCCCCCCCCCCGCGCTTCCCGCTGGTTGAGCAACTGGAACCTACGGACAGGTTCCGCATGCAACCGGACATTCGTCAAGCAGCTCCTTGGCGCCCACAGCGACTTCGTATATCCAATATTCGCATGGTTTGTGGGATGCCGCATACCATTGGCACCCGTCACCCCAAGAGTCCAGCCATGTGTCGCTGTCCTTGCACGCAGGTTTTTTCACCCAAGCAGGTGCAGCGACGGGTCGAACAGGAGTCAGGACACCCGGTGGCAGCCGAGGCATTTTGGAGCAACGGCTAATGCTGGTACCTAAGCGCCGACCCTCCAGCCCGGCAGCCGCGAGCGCCTCTTCCGCCTCCGCCACCAGCTTTTCCGCCTCGCCCGCGTCGTCAACGGAGAAGGCCGCGCATCCCACCTTGGCGAAGCACAGGTTGTGCTCGAGGGCCTCCGCGTCAGTATACGTCGCGGCGCCGTCCCAGACCTGCACAAGCCCTCCCGGGAAGGCAAGCTCGAAGGTGACGCGAGTCTTAGAGAAGCGCTTGACGTGGCTGATGGAGAGCGAGGCATGCACGGTCTCATTTTTGCCGCCGTCTGGCGCCCCGTCGCTCTTGTAGGTGACCGTCATCTTCTCGATCGACGCGAGCTGCTCGGGCGAGAGAACCGGCGCGACAAGGAGCGGCAAGCTCGTCTCCGCCTTGGCCACCGCGACCACCTTGCCGTCCGCATCGACCATCAGGGTCTCGCTGACAAAGGACTCCTTCGCGAGCACCGCCGCCGCAGTCGAGGTGCCGAGCGTGGTGCACGCGAGGATGACGCAGCCGACCAAGGAAAAGATGGCCAGCTTCTTGTAGAGGACGCGCTTCTTTTCCGCCGACAAAAAGCCCGAGAGGACGGAGTAGAACTCTTTGGTCGAGAGCCAGCCGTTCCCGTCCTTGTCGGCGGCGAGGAGGCAGCCGTGGATCTTCTTCTCGGCGTGGGAGACATCGCCGTTTCCGTCCACGTCCGGATCGAGAGAGGAGAGGGGGATGCGAACTGTCTCTTGCTCCACCTCTGGCGGCGACTCCGGTGGTGAGGGCGGCGTGTGGGACGGCTTGTTGTCCATCATTCTGCAGGCGGCGGCGGATGAGCGTCAGCAGCGTCAAACGTGAGCGCGGTGTCAGCCTACGGACTGGTAGAGATGGCCGGGGGCACCACACGCAGGCAGCACTCATCTCGCGCTGCGTCGCGCCGGGCGAGGTGGCGAGGCGAGGGACACAGGCTCGCGCACCGGTCCCTCGGCCAGCAAACCACCAAAGCGACCCCTCGTCCTCGGTCCTCGGCATCAAAGGCCTGCCGCCGATTTTGAATTTTGGCCGCCGATTTTGAGTTGAGGGGGGGGGGGGGGGGGGGGCTCCCTTCATGGTAGTGAGCGAGCGCGGACGGCATCGCACCGGACCACGGCCTTGTCGTGAATTCGTCGCGGCGTTGCGTCCTGTCGAGGTCTCGCAGTCGTAAATAAAAGGGAAGTGTGTGCGCGCGTCCGATATCCGTCCGGGTGATTCGCGTGCTGCACTCTGCGGGGCCCGCATGCGTGGATGGACAGTTCCGCAGCAGCAGCAAATGTACCACCGTCCGGCACGGGTAAAGGTAATATCGCAGTCGATATGGTTGTTCCCGGAGCCAGGCGCAGGACCATCGTTGCAACACGAACACCATCAGCCTGCAAGAGAGGCTGCGGGCCGCGAGAGTCTTGGCGAGCGACAGGCCTGCTCGCGGACGGCCTGCTGCAGAAGGAAAGGGCAGTGGACAGCCGCGCGACGATGATGGCGCAAGCGCCGGGATGATGAGCCGGCAGCTGCGAACGGCCCGCGACGTCATCACCCCAAGCAGCGTCTCCAGTGGCAGTGCGCTACGATGATGCACCGGAGGACTACTTTTGAGTATACGTTACAGTGCATGGTGAACACCACACAACCCCCCCTTCCTGGGGGGAGTAGCAAATGAGGTAGTCTCTGCGAAAACACTGTCCCAGTGCATTCGCCCAAGAGGCTTCCGTGTGTGGACTCGCAGCTCCGGCTGGATGTCGGCGACCTAAAGCCCGGCGGTCGTCGCTTCGCGCCGGCCGACTCCCTGGGATGCGTGGGAGGCGGTGGCGCCGATGGCGGCGGCGCGTGTGAATGGCGCTGTCTTGATGTAGTTTACCGAAAAAAAGAAAAAAGCTCTCATCCACACCCTCCTCCCCAGACGGCATCGGCCGCCGAGGGAACGTTGGGAAGAGGCACGAGGAGGGCGGCGACCTCGACCGACTATGGAGGACCCGTCGCCAGACGACGCAGGGCAGAAGACGGTGAGGCGGAGCAGACGCGCAGGGCGAGACGAGGGAGGGAGCAGGACTTTGCGGAGATCAGCAGGAGGATGTACGAAGAGATTAGGAGCAGCAGGGACCCGAGGGACCATGTGGAAGACGGCTAGTGCTAGTCCCCCACCGGGAGGACGACCCCGGCTAGTCGCCGACCACACCCACAAAGAACCCTGCACAAAGATCGCAAGGGCGGGGACCTGTTCCTTTTTACCCATCTCACAGTAGAGAGGTGTCCGTTTTTATTTATTTACCCTCCTCCCCTGCGCGTCACGCTGCCCCGTCGTCCAAGCCGCCCCGGCTCGCCCGCCCTCAACGCCCCGCGAAAGTCGCTTCGCAGCCGCGACGCGCGCGCTGCGTTCCAAGCGTCGAGAGCGGCAAAAACGCGGCGGCCGTAGATCGAGAGCAGCACCAACCGCAGCGGCATCGTGAGCGAGTTTGTGCACGCCGCCGCGGCGACGCAGCTGGTCGATGACGTGAGGGCTGTGGCGCCGCCGCCGCCCGCGTCGAGGAAGGGGATGTAGGAGAGGGCGCCCACGACGTCCACGCCGAGGTGGGTGCACGCGGTGGCCGTGCCGACGGTCAGGAGGCCGTTGAGCCAGTGCGTGAACATATAGGGACCGCCGTAGCGGTTGACTGGACCCTCCGCCCACCGCGCGGCAGCGGCCAGACGCTGCTCGAGCCGCTCCGCGAGCGGCTGTTGCGCTGTCACCTGCGGTGAAGCGCCGCCTTCCCGCGGGCGCGCCGGCTGCTCGACCAGAGGCGCGAGCAACGGCGCCAGCTTCAGCTGGTTGAGCCGGGGCGCCGCGTGCGCCAGCGAGGCAGCGAGTGGAAGGTCAAGCGCGACCGTGCGCGGTCGCTTGACGAGCCGGCCGACCAGGCCGCCCACCGCTAGCGCCGGAAGGTCGAGGCCGAGCACGTGAAAATATACCAGAAAGGCGGCGCCGAAGGTGCCGAGCGAGCCAGCGAGGTGGGCCGAGAAGCTCGAGAGAGGGTAGTCGGCGAGCGTTTCGTTGAGTCGTTCCACGAGCGATCCATCGGCCGAGAATCCGGCCCGTGAGCAGAACGAGCGCAGGCCCCGACGCAGGGACCTACCCGTGTTAGTGCCAGTGCGCGCCAGTCCCGCGATCTTCGTCATCACACACGCGCGATACACACACGCATGGCTATAACCTCGGAATGTAAGCGCACAAGAGAGAGAGAGAGAGAGAGAGAGAGAGAGAGAGAGAGAGAGAGAGAGAGAGAGAGAGAGCCGAGAGAGAGAGAGAGAGAGAGAGAGAGAGAGAGAGAGAGAGAGAGAGAGAGAGAGAGAGAGAGCGAGGGAGGGAGGGAGGGAGGGAGAGAGAGAGAGAGAGAGAGAGAGAGAGAGAGAGAGAGAGAGACAGAGAGAGAGAGAGAAGGGGGGCGGGGGGGGGCATCAGGAGCAGCATCACTAGTCCTCGTAGTCCATCATGAAATAAACTCAAAGGTCCACCACAGCCTCCAGCCTCCACCTCCACCCGCGAGCCCCCACCGCTGCCGCCCGCGACGCCGCCCGCCGCGTCAGATTGCCACGACGCGCGCATCGAGTCGCGTCGGAGAGCCGCGCCGCACCAGCAGCAGCATCTGCACCACCACCAGCAGCAGCAGCAGCACCACCACCACCAGAGAGAGAAGCGCACCTGCCCGACGCCGCCCGCCGCGTCAGATGCTCGCGACGCGCTCGTCGAGCCCAGTCGCAGAGCCGCGCCGCGCCAGCAGCAGCATCTCCACCAGCAGCAGCACCATCACCACCACCAGCAGCAACAGAGAGAGGCAGTGCAGGCGCAGAAGCGCTCGCAGAGCGGCGCGCAGCGCCGCGCACGCCACGCTGCGGACCGTCGGACGAGCGCAGCGTACGTCGGCGGCGAGCCGCGTCGCCAGCCGTCTCGCGAGAGAGCGGCGCCGCCGCGTGCGCGCAGCAGCCGCCGCGGCAGAGGCGAGCCGCGACGACGTCCGCACAACGGATAACTGCCATTGGCGGTTATCTCTCCCAACCCCGCGCCCAACCTCGAACTAATTTCTTTCCGCTTGAAACCACCTCACGCTGGAAGTGTGGCGAATCGATGCGAGCGCGCCGCGTGCTCCACGCGCGGCGCGCTCGTATCGACTTGGAGTCCAATGCGCGCAGCGGGCGGGTAGCACCTCGGGAGCTCGCTCTACCCGGGATGCGGGGCCTTCTCTCGCAGGTCGTCGATCGAATCTAACTAATGTGTATTTCACACGCGACAAGCAAGGCGCAGACAACGGCTTCCTTAGGAGAAACCTCTCTCAAAGTTCATCCACATGAGGGACAACCGCCACTCCACATAAGAGGGAAATTCCCGGGAACTCGGTCAGACCAGAGCAAAGTCAGCAGCTCGTGCAAAAGCGGAGGTACATCAGGAGCCGCAGCCGGCCTGCTCTCCCAACCCCGCGCCAACCGCGTGCTAATTTCTTTCCGCTTGAAACCGCACGCCGTCCAACGCGTGAAGAGTCCACGGTTTGAGGCGTGCAGCGCCTGCCGCGCCCGCCGCCCAGCGCGAGGGCCGGGGCCCCGCGCCGCTGAGCCCGTGCCCCGCCACTCCCTCTCCCTCCCCTCCCTCTCCCTCCCCGCCCGCGCGACGCGTGCAGGGGCTCGCGCCGCCGCCCGAGCCGCGCCTCCGCCCTACCCCTGTACTCTGTCGCAGCGCGATCCCCGGCCAGCATGATTGCGCGCCACCGCGCCCGCGCCGCGCCCTGCCGCGCCACGCCCGCGCCAGGGCTCCGGGACTGCGCCGCCCGCTCTGCGCTGGAATTGCCCATGCGGCCGCCGCCGCATCCTCAATTTCTCCGCTCATCGGACACACTGCCTCCGTCCGATCAGGTGCCGAGTCTGGGTGCGCCTCGCTCTTCATCTCCATCTAGATGCCTCCACCCTTCCAACCCGTCCCCACAAAGAAACGCAAACACAGCCCACTTCCCTGGCGGGGCGCGTACCACGGCTTCGCACGAGTCGCGCGGCCTCCCGAGCGTCGGTCCCGCCCAAGCCGCGGCACGAGGGCGCCTTCGAGGTCCCAAAAATTGCGACGCCGGCCCGACTTCGCAAACCGCGCGACGCCATTCGTCTGCAGGCCCTATCCCCCCCCCCCCCCCCCGAGAAAAGGTGCAGAGAGAAATATATTTCCCCGAAGCTAAGTAAGGCCGGCATGGGCTAAAAAAATCATTGGGTATAAGAGCCGCCGACTCTTTCCCAATGTTATTGAACTAGAAGAGTTTTTTG